ACGATTGTTGACTGATTGTTAAAATCGGAATCGTACGCTGAAAGTTTTCTTTTGAACTTTGTGTTTGCCAAAGAGAGAGGACCGCGCTCGTTTGTAAACTCTTAACAATGTATGATTTCGATGGGTTAAATGTAAAATTCTCAGAGAAAGGGAAACGTACGGCCGAGATAATTAAAATAATTGGTTTACTCGTTAGAGATTCAACTAACGATGAAATTTTTAATTCTGTTCAGTGAGAAAATCACGGTGAATATGTTTAAAGAAACAGATCAGTTGCAAGTTGCTTGGGATTACTTTGCACACATACATTTTGCATAATTCTGCATTTTAAAATTTAAAAGGGAAAACAGAGTTTAAATATATATTTTTGTCTATATTCATTTGTCTACGTAGATATTCAAAATGTCTACTTTCTTATTTTTTATACGTAGCAACTTGATCATGTCTCGTAACTAAATGATCTCAGCGTGAATTAATTGATATTAACTGATTTAACTGAATAAAACGAAGGATCCTAATTTGATATAAGAAGCCACATTTTCTTGCATCCTTCGAGAACAATGGCCTAATATAAGCTGATTACACTACATTTAGCTTATTAATCTCGTCGTCAATCTTCGTATCGAAAGTTCTCTCAGAAACGAAACGGGATTATTTTACAAATTCCCGATGAAACCTTGCCGAACCCTGATAAGAGTCAACTTTTCCCCAGCTTTCCCCTACCTCACGAACTACGTTTCCAGTCGTCTGGACGGCGAAGTCTCTCGCATCGAGTCAAGAATTTCCCACCCTCTGTGTTTCCCTCTCCCTCTGTATTCAGAATACGAAGCGTTGACGCTCTCGCAAAGGTTTCTGGCACGCGGTGTCGCGCGTGTGACGCAATCATTCTCGCCACGGCGTCGAGCAAGCGAACGCAAACGGACCAGCGAGAGCAAACGCGTGCCAATTAAGTTTCGGATGGTCGTAGCATGTTAAATATTTGCCGAGCGCCGGGGCCGAGCCTCTCGAACAACGATATTAATTGTACGACACTAGTCGTACGAATGTGCACGAAGATTTCGATCGCGATACCCAGAACGCGGGCAGATAGACGGCCCCCGGGGGTAGGGGAGGGAGAGGAAAGAGGACTAAATCGAGCGGACAGAGATCCGTTCCGAGATTTACGAGTGTTTGCCCGGAAAAACAAGAAAGCCCGTTAATTGGCCAGCCGGTCGTGGACAGCATCGAGACGTCGATACGTCAATATAATATCCAACTTTGACATATCGCGCGGAGACTTCGGCAACGAACACCGGCGTTAACGTTGATCGACGATCACCGATGACTAATCCCTTATTACCCATCGCTGCTGGAAGGAGGGGGG